TAAATCCGCGAGCACAAAAGGCAAAGCAATTGGGTGGAAAAACTGGATTCGCAAACGAAATGAAAATAAACTAACAAAAATAGTTGCAAACAACTGTGGGAGAGCAGAAACAAACAAAGATCGAACTCAACTTTCTTAGCCTTGTGTATTTGCTGGTGTTTTTGTGTGCCTATGTGTGTTCGCTTTCGTTTATATCGCTGCAGCAGGAGACCAATAGATTGTGGAGGAGGAGAAGGAGGGAAAGCATTTGGTTTTTGCAAGGAAAAGCATAGCCGCCACCTTTGTAATTACGCCAACTTTGTGGGAGTTCAAGTTTAGCTGCGCGCCTGTATGCGTATCCGTGTGTGTTTGTGTTGTGTTTGAAATTGTGTATGCTCGTGTGTGTGTGCAACACCCCCCAAGCCTGAGCAAAACACACGCATACACAGACAACCGAGTGTCACACGGATTGTGTGGGGTGCCAGCAGAAGGAGAAGGAGGAGCAGGCTGCTGCTGCTGAATTGCGTTCCCCCCTTCGTCTGGTGGCGTTCACCGGTCGCGGCAGCACCTTGTGGCCATCCGCTGGATACGGATTTTGTGACGGCGGCGACACCACAAACGCCGAAGTGGATGCCCATGCACGCGGTGGCCTGGGCATTGCCCAGGACTTTGGCATGGGTCCCGGTGCCGGTCCGCCCGCTCACATGTACGGCGCCGTAGCCCCCCAGGACAGTAAGTTATCGCATATCCTTTGCTTTCCAATCACTAATTTGTGTATCGTCTCCCCCTCCAATAGTTATTGTCCGGGACATGGTGCAGATGCCACCGCCGCCTCCCTCGAATGCACCCACATCGGCCGACGCCTGCCTGAGCATTGTCCACTCGCTGATGTGCCATCGGCAGGGCGGCGAGAGTGAGGGATTCGCCAAGCGCGCCATTGAGTCGCTGGTGAAGAAGCTGAAGGAGAAGCGCGACGAATTGGATTCACTGATAACGGCCATCACCACAAACGGAGCCCATCCGAGCAAATGCGTGACCATTCAGCGCACTCTCGACGGTCGCCTGCAGGTGAGCGATCTTTGGCTGGAGCGAGTAGGAGTCTATTTATAGATGACTCAAGCCATTCGCTGTTGTGTGGTTTGTGGCCTGCCCCTTATCGCACCTGGTTTGGCTGGATGTCTCGACTCTGTTTGCTTACTGAATTTCCGGTTTTCTGATAGCGCAATTGGAAAGGGGAACAGAAACGCGCGCAGGGGTCAAATCTCTTCGCTTATCTGGCATCGAAGTTTAATTGAATTTTCTGTTTGCAGGTCGCTGGACGTAAGGGCTTCCCGCACGTGATCTATGCACGCATCTGGCGTTGGCCCGACCTGCACAAGAACGAGCTGAAGCACGTCAAGTACTGCGCCTTTGCCTTCGATCTCAAGTGCGATTCGGTGTGCGTGAATCCCTACCACTATGAGCGCGTCGTCTCGCCGGGCATCGATCTGTCCGGCCTGAGCCTGCAGTCGGGTCCCAGCCGCCTAGTAAAGGACGAATACTCAGCCGGCCCATTGGTCGGGGGCATGGACATTGATGGCAATGATATTGGCACCATTCAGCATCATCCCACGCAGATGGTGGGACCCGGGGGCTATGGATATCCCCAGGGACCCGCTGAGTATGGTAGGACTTTGCCCTTTCTTGCTTGGATTTTCTTATAATTTGATTCGATTTCATGTTGATTTCCTTTTTGTTTATTTTTATGTTTTGTTTTTTTTTTTTTCATTTTTGAATTTGGGGTTCTTTGTGCAGTTGGCGATGGCAATCCTTTGGGTGCAATGTTCTCCACTGGCCGAACAATACCAAAAATTGAGCCACAGGATGGCGTTGCTGGATCGCGCAGTTCATGGATGGTGCCGCCGCCGCCGCGGCTTGGCCAGCCAACGCAACAGCAGCAGCAGCAACAACCCCCGCCGCCCCAACAGCAGCAGCAACAACAACAGCAGCAGCAATCCCAATCCCAGGCAGCCCCGCACACGCTTTGTAAGATTTTAATTTTTACTTTTTGTTTGTTTCGATTTGAGGGAAATGTTTCTATGTTGCTTGGCATTTACCCCGTTTTTTGTGCCTCATTTGCAGCTGTACCTCATGGTATGCCGGGCATGCCTGGACCCATGAATCCTGGCCCAGTTATGGCGCCGCCACCCCCGCCCCAGCAAGCACAGAATCCCCAGGGCAATGGTGTGCATCATGCCCAGGCCAATTCACCCACAGATCCCGCCTCCGCAATGGCCATGCAACAGCAGCAACAGCAACAACAACAGCAGCAGCAGCAACAGGCGCCGGGTGGCGTGCCCAATGGACCGAATGGTGCTGTCAATGCCAGCGGGGGACCTGGAAGTGGTGGACAGTACTATGGTCCACCACCCACATCCAACCAGATGCAGAATGTGGGCGAGAACAAGTTCAGTGGCAGCGGAGGTGGCGGCGGTTCAGGTCCAGGCTCGGCCGTTCATCCGCAGCAGAATGGTTATGTGTCGCAGTCAGGATCCGCGAATGCAGCGGCACCCTTTGGGGCACCACCACCCACCTCCCAGCAGCAGCAACAGCAGCAACAACAACAACAGCCGCCATCCAATGTGCAGGCCAACTCATCAGCTGGCGGAGCACAGGCCAGTGGTGGCAGTGGAGCCGCTGGCACATGGACCGGGCCCAACACTCTAACCTACACACAGTCCATGCAGCCGCCCGATCCGCGCTCACTGCCGGGTGCTTTCTGTAAGTGAATGGGAAAGATCTTCCTCTCTGTAATCTCTAAACTGCTCTCTGTCTCTGCCGCAGGGAACTCATCAATGTCAGGTGACCTGGCCTCCCCGCAGCAGACGCCGCCGCAGCAACAGCAGCAGCAGCAACAACAGCCACGTCTGCTCTCACGTCAACCACCGCCAGAGTACTGGTGTTCCATTGCCTACTTTGAGCTGGACACGCAGGTGGGGGAGACCTTTAAAGTGCCCTCGGCCAAGCCAAATGTCATTATCGATGGCTATGTGGATCCCTCGGGTGGCAATCGCTTCTGCCTAGGAGCCCTCAGCAATGTGCATCGCACCGAGCAATCGGAAAGAGCCAGGTGGGTGCTTTAGACTCTAATTATAAGCAAGAAGATTACTCATTTCTTTGACACTTTTGCAGGCTGCACATTGGCAAGGGCGTTCAGTTGGATCTTCGCGGTGAGGGCGATGTCTGGCTGCGCTGTCTCAGCGACAATTCTGTGTTCGTACAAAGCTATTATCTGGATCGAGAGGCTGGCCGAACGCCTGGCGATGCTGTGCACAAGATCTATCCGGCAGCATGCATCAAGGTGAGTGGTGGGATTCAAGGTTTTGATTTCTTTTATTTATTATATTTTATTTACAGGTGTTTGACTTGCGTCAGTGCCACCAGCAGATGCATTCGCTGGCCACCAATGCGCAGGCAGCTGCCGCAGCACAGGCAGCCGCTGTCGCCGGTGTCTCCAATCAACAGATGGGCGGAGGCGGCAGAAGTAAGTATCTAGAGAGAGTGCAAAATCCAACTCAAACTTATCTGGATCATTCCGTTCTATTGCAGGCATTACTGCGGCTGCTGGCATTGGTGTGGACGATCTGCGTCGTCTTTGCATATTGCGTCTGAGCTTTGTCAAGGGCTGGGGCCCCGACTATCCACGACAGTCGATCAAGGAGACGCCCTGCTGGATCGAGGTGCATCTGCATCGTGCTCTGCAGCTGCTCGACGAAGTGCTCCATGCAATGCCCATCGATGGGCCACGAGCGGCTGCCTAGCCGCCGTAGGATCCCGGCAGCATTCATATTTATTAACCATAGCCAGGCACACACAACGCATGTCTACGTTTAAGAATCGAAAGTTTGCAAAGAGAGAGAGATTTGGTTTTTGATGATTTGATTGCAATTCTGGATTATGTTTGCCTTTAATTATTTAATAATGATTTTTATAAAAAATTGAAACAAGTGAAGCGCAGTTTTAAGCAAGCAACTAGTTTTATGTACTATAATTAAATACATACAAAGTACACGCACCCCCCAAAAACACACACAAACTGATGGACAGACAAGAAACAACACAATCATCATCATCCTCCCCAGCCAGCCCACAAATTCAGCAGCATCGATACAGCACACACATACATACATAAATACATACATATGGATGTAAAATGCAACAAGCGAAACAAGTAGTTTGTAACAAATAAGTTTAATAAACAGAACATAAACGAAATGCAAATGATTAGCCATTATAGCTGACCATCCTTAGCTCCACTTGCTGGTCCAGCCAGTCAATCCATTCCGTGGTAATCTCACGCTGCATCGTTACTTCGTGAAAGACTTTGACCCGTGCAGTTTCCACAAATTGAAAGCTCTCAAACAATCGCAGCGACACGGCATTGTCCATGTCAATCTTCACCTCAAACTTGTGCAGCTGCAGCTGGCTTTGGGCATACTTCAGCATGAGCAGCATGGCCTCGCGTCCGTAGCCCGTGCCCCTCGCTTGTGGCTCGGCGATCATTATCTCCGCCTCAGCAACCCGCTCATTTGTGTCGGGATCATGGCGCAGGAAGAGATTTGTGTCGCCCACCATGGCGGCAATCTCATCATTGTCACGGGCATAGATATCGGCGGCGAGGATTATGAACGTAAGCTTGTCGCTGTCCTCGCGCCAACTCTGCTGCATTAGGTACTCCTCCGAGAGTGTCAGCTCCTCCGAGGCCGTCAGCTGCCGCAGAGTCTCATTGCTCATCCAGTCGTGGTATTTGGGTACATGTCGCGCCTCATAAGGAGCTAGGATGATCTTGTTTCCCAGCAATTTAATGTTTTCATTCAGATGCATGATGCGAAAAGTGTTGCATAAAAATAGGGTATGGACAGCAGGAAAAACTGACCAGAAAGTGAACGCATGAGAGGTGAAAACCACCCTTCTGCTTACATACCTTTCCATGACAGGCAGAGTTGCCAGGCTGTTCAGCATAAACGTATGAAGTTTTTCAGTAAATTCGCACTTAAATAATGGAAAAATCGAGCATATCTCGAGATTGCCGCGCTTGCGGCAAGTTTATTTACAACACAACATCCAAGAACCTGTTCCAGGACCCGGAAAACGTAATGCTGAACCAAATCGAGGCCTTAACGGGACTATTTGTAAGTATCCAAAATTTAGACACGTTCAGACCAACTGATGGATTGGGAGGTCTACCATCTCCACACATCGGTTCCAACCGTCTTTTGACTTTATGTTTCTTGCTTTTGCTGCAGCTGCTCGAGCATGCTAATCTTCCAGCTCGCATTTGCGGTCCCTGCGAGGTGTCCCTGAGGGAAGCCGTGCGCTTCCGGGAGCGTGTCATCCAAACCCAGCAGCTGCTGCAGAGTGGTCCAGAGAATGTCGAAGAGATCTACTTGAACGCCACTGAACAAAAGTCAAATGAGGAAGCACAAGAGACACAGTCTGATTCTGAGAGCGAGGAGGAGAAAGATGACAATGAATGTGTGACGTCGATAGAACTCGTCAAGGAAGACGATGCTGTGGTGGTGGCACCGGAAAATGTGACACCTGACTCGACTGCTCTAGGTAAACCCAGTGCCGATATTGAATCAAAAGTTGCAAGATGCAAACCGCCACCACGTACCCCCACCGTTTACACATCGATGACTTTTGTGGACAACAGCAAGAGTCGAAACCAGCCACGCACCCAATGGGACAGGCTCACCGAGGAGGAGACTGTGGCTCTGAAGCGGGAGCGCCGCAAGCGCGATTGCATCTGTGAGCAGTGCGGCCGTCACTTCTCCTGTCCCAGTAATTTTAAAGTTCACCTGCTCCGCCACTCGGGTGTAAAGAATTTTGCATGCGAGCAGTGTCCACAGAAGTTCTATACGGCTCATCTGCTGCGGCGACACGAGATGCTGCATCGGGGCGAGCGTCCGTTTCCCTGTCAGTACTGCAACATGTCATTCAACAACTCCAGCGGACGCATCCAGCACGAACGCATGTAAGTTGGGTAGAAACATTTCCGATAGCACTCTTTTCTGATTTAAACTCTTTTTCTTGAAGTCGCCACACCAACATTAAGCCATACAAGTGCACCGAGTGCGATAAATCCTTTGCTGTGAGTGGGAAACTCAAGGTGCACATGCTTAGCCACACAGGTGTGCGTTCCTTCCAGTAAGTTCAGCTCTACATAGATTTATCACACATTTTAAATGCTATTTTTTGTAGCTGTGAGCTGTGCAAAGTGTCGTTTATACGGCGTCCACATCTGCAGGCACACTTCCGCTCGAAAAGCCATGCACAGAACTCGCAGGCCCAGGAGTCCTCTGCTAAAGCATTGGAAGTCGATGTTGAGACGCTTCTTCAGTAGAATCTATAGCTATGCATGGTTTTTAATATTTAAATAAAAGTCATATTTATTTAGTTGTGTAAAATTCTTGCTGACATCTTTCAATACAGGGTATACCAGTGCCCAAACTACCGGTTGACAAGCAGCAGTAGTCAAATAACGTAACATTCTTACATTTTTTGGGAATAAATACCAAATAATTTATTTGGGATTAACACTTTTAGTTTGAGCCTTATTTTGTAAACAATTCAATAAAAGAAAGTCATTAAACTGGCCAATCTTGGGGGAAATCGATCCAGCTCTCGGATAAAACTGTAGATTTACTGCTGAGAGTTCTAACTAGCTGGTAATAGTAAATGGAATATCAAAGTCGAGAAAAATGTTAGTTTTCATTCGTTATAAACGGTATATAAAACGGTACATAAAAAATGAGAGTGATATTTCGGTATATTTCTTTGGTATCACTGATGTATACACATTCTGATAAGAACGCAGTAAACAGTTTTTGTTGATTGCAAAAAACGTAAATTTTTGAGTTAAAAATGCCTTAAACAACGGATCAAAAGTGCCATGTAGAACTAACCCAGTGCCATAATGTGTGAGAATGGAGCACAAATCAAAAACCAGCCGAGAATCTTAAGCAGACCGCAACAAAGCCGAATCTAGTCCAAGAGAATTTGCTACCACCCACACCCACACACACACACAGCCTCCCACACACAACGAAATGTCAAACGATGTGGAAATAGCAAGCGACGCCAAGATTGGGATCGAGGTGCACCGGCGAAATGAGAAACAGCAACACCCCCAGCGAGAAATCACTGGGATCTCGAAGAATGCTGCTGGCAGCGTCGTTGGTGAAGACATCGAATATGTTTTCGGTAGCATATCGCCGCGGGGGGGCTGCATCAATGCCACGAAGCACCTAGTGGGCTCCTACGAGCTGGAGTCGCCGGAGCACACGCCGCGCGACACTACCGAAAGTGACATCAACATTTCGAGCTGCTCCACGCTGGACATTGTCAATAAAGTAAGTTGTGACGGGCGTATAGTATATTGGTTTTGTGGTCTGTGCGCACAGTGCGCAGATGCGTATCGAGCCGAAGGTCAAACTGCAACGGCGAATGCACCACCAGCAAACGGCTGACGACGTAATAGCCAGGGACAGTCGAAATTTTCCACTGCGGCCATGATTGCGGAGCAACTGCTTCCGCGCAGCCTGAGCTGCATGTGCTGCAGCGACACACCTCCAGTTCCTGGTGGCGTTGGCGGCTTTGGGATTCAGCGCGCTGAAAAGCGACACAGTTGGGAGTACACGCTGATGGCCCAGCCACTGGCCAGGCGACCCATTAATGTGATGACGACATGGTAGCTGGCTCCATCCGTGTTACTAAGTGTCATTCGTTCTTGTCTTGCAGGTTGAGCAATTGTCGGTGCAGCAGCTGGAGAATCGTGTCCGTGAGCTGACACAGCGCCTGCAGCAGGCGGAGCGCCACTTGTCGGAGAGCAATGCGGAGAGGGAAATGTGCCACAAGCGTTTGGAGGTGGTCAGTCAGGCGCACGAATGTCGCATCACTGAAATGCACTGCGTCATTGCGGAGCTAAGCAAGAAACTGCGCTCCAAGCAGGATCATATCATAGTCGAGGAGCAGGAGCCCGAGGGCAGTGGTAAGCGAAACCTTCTTAGAAGATAAATTCATGGAAATTCTCATTGAGAAAGTTGACATCCTATTAGAGCTGAGCTACCAGGAGGGTTCTGTGTACAACTCGGAGCTGAATCTGACCAATCCAGATGCAGAGTGTCAGACGGAACCGATGGAAGATCTCTATAGCGCCGCTAGCGTGGATAAAATCGGTCTTAAGCCACAGGAGCTGGGCAACAAGGGACAACTGGACGCGCTGCAGGAGGAAGTTTTGCATTTGAGGGCCAAGATCTCGCTGCTCCAGTCGGAGATTGCAACCAAGGAAACGGCTGTCGTTGAGGAGCAGACCAAAGTGGACTTTTTTGCTGGTGAACAAGAGGCCAACGAGAGTGGTCAGCGTCTCAACGATCTGAATGGTAGGCGGAAGAGCCCTGCACATGTCCAGGCATCAGCTAACCATTTCCATTCTAGCTTGTGTATCGCTGACCAGTCCGCAGAAGCGAGTGCCTGCTGTGCCCAAAATGGCCGAGCGGGTGAAGCTGCGCTGCGCCAGCAAGAACGAACAAGACGAAGAGCCAACCAGCGAGGCACACACTGAGCTAAGCAATGAGGTAGGTGGCTGGCATCGCTCACTTATCCAGTCACTAATCGATCAATCTACCATCAGCACATCAACTTGGTGGAGCATTTGGTGTGCGAATTGAAGGAACAAAACTCCTTCATGGACAGCATCATGGAGCCGCTGCATCTCAGCAAAGATATGGAGCCACATCAGCGTAAAATGGAGTATCTAAAGATGCGTAACACGATTCTGGCCATGACGCTGGATGAGTCGAAGGAGCACACCGAACACTTGTACTTGCTGTGCGGCAAATACGAATCGAATGCGGTGGCCCTTCAGCTGGCGCTCAACTGCAGCGATCGCGCCATTGAGGCATACGATGTGATGCTGGCACTCTTGGAGACCAAGTAAGTCCAGGACAGAACATGGGAGAGCATTTGAAAACCATTTTAAAATCTCCTGATTAGGTTGGCGCTTCTGATTGATAAATCAGCGGCAGCGGAGGAGAGTCGCCGTTCGGTTGAGGCAGTGGCCAAGCATCTGTTGGCCCGCCTGGACAGCGAGAAGAATGTGTGCGAAAACAGTCTGGGCCCATGGCAGCATAATATAAATCTGGGCGGCGAGGATGATCCGAAGAGTGCACGGCCATGGTGTACCGACGATGACAATCGTCTGCGCAATCACGTCTCGAAGCTGAAGGGCCGCCGCTCGACGGTGCAGCATACAATCGTCAATCTGGAATCACCCTTCAGCGATGTGTACGAAAGAAAGCGTCTGGCCTTGGAGAAGGGGCACGAGTACAAGAAGTCGCCCATCGATTTGGATACGGCTGTCATCATGCAGGAGCTGCTGGAGCTGCAGGACGAGAACATTGAACTAAAGACCAAAATAAATGAGGCCGAGCAGGACCGACAGCATTCCAAAGATCGAGTGGCCATTCTGCACGTTGCGCTCCAGCAGCTGCAGCTGGCAAATCGAGTGTCCTACTCGGAGGCGGAGCATTCGGCGCTCACCGAGCAACAGTTGGTCGAGGCCCTAACCCGCGAAACAGAACTCAAGGGCCGCCTGCAGACGCTTTTGGGTAACTTTACGGCCACGCAACGAGCCTCCGAGGAGAAGTACGAGGAGCTGCAACAGAGCGTACGCGAGCTGCAGCAATCCAATCAGTAAGTGTTTGCCATTCCAGCTGGCCTTCAATACTAATGTATAAATATTCTGCAGCAATTTGGGACAAATGTTGGAGGCCAGCAGGCGCAAGTATCAGGCGCGAGTAAACAAACTGGAGCAGAGGATTGCAGACTTGCGGCTGGACCATGAGCGATGCAACAAGCATGTGCCTGAGACAACGCTGTAGATGTAAGGATGTCCAACTACTGACGCGTCACCCAGAAGGAGTGGCTGCGGCGTGGGCTGTGCGCTATGAATCTTTACTTTACCCAATCATATCGCTTCTGCTAACGCTATTCCCACCATTATCCAACGCATCGCCCACTCAGCATTCATTACCTCCAGGGTGTCGCGTCAGGAGCAAGACAAGTATCACGAATGTGCCATGCGACTAACTTGTAGCCGGTGGCAAGGCCCCGCGGCGTATCAGGCTGGATAAACTACATATTTACGTAAATATATAAACAACATGGTGCCACAGGAACTGAGCTCCAAGTTGATTCTTATTAGAGCTGGGAGCTAACTCCTGGGCGCCACAAAGCAATTACTTATACGATTAGATGAAACGAAAAAGAAAAGAAACGAAAGAAGTTACTCACGACGGGAATCCTATATTTGTACAACGTATTCGCATTATGCTGCTTGTTATATGAACTCTATATGTATTTAAACTTGTACAAATTATATGTCTACTGAATCTACGTTCGTTCATTCACTCATTGGAGGATTCATCCTCGGCGGCAGCATCATCAACCCCAGCATCACCATTGGCGTCAGCGGCATCGTCTGCGTCTCCATCTGCATCTGCATCTCCATTGTTACTACCACTACCGCTGGCACTGCTGTTACTATTACTATTCGAATTGCCATTTTCATTGCTCTCCATTGCGATGTCCTCCTCCACATGGCCGTTTGTGTGCTCTGGCGTTGGCGCGTTGTCATTAGCTGTGACCGGGCCAAGGGTTTGCAAGTGTTCTCGGGCTGCTTGTACCAGCTTCTCGAGCTCCACGCACTCTGTTTCAATCTCGTAGTTCTTCGAGACGAGCAACACCCAGTGAGCGTCCAGGGAGCGCAGCCTTTCGCCCGCCAAAGTCTGCGCCTGCTTGCGTTGCCAGTTCACGTCCTGTATGTCCTTTTTCAGTTGCTGAAGCTGCAACTGCGCTTTGGCCTGCATGGCGGTGAATACCTCCAGATAGGATTTCCACGCTTCCGTGCCGTAGTCCAACAAAAGTTCCAGATTTAGAGAGCGCACACACTGGTGCTCCAGCTGGGCCATGGAATTTTCAATGGCCTCTTGCCAAGCAGACACCTCGCCCAGCTTCCCGGATGGCGGGGGTGGCAGTTCGTACCGCTTCATGGAGAGCGTTTCCATGGGCAGGCGATTCTGTATGCGCTCAAATTCGTTGACCATCAGCGGTGTCTCGAATGGCGAAGTGGCCGGCAGCGGCAGATGGTCTAGGTAATTCTTTGTCGGTCGGTAGCGTCTGCACTCTTCTTCCACCATGGCAAGCGCCGATTCCCTGACACCAACGTCGTCGTATCCATGGTCAATGTAGGGCAAGGCATCCACAATAACTTCTCCAGCCATTATTAATTCAATTTTTGCAAATAAACACTTTTAATGGACAGAGATCGATTAACGTTAACCCATGCTCGATAAGTGGGTATTTACACACACAATATTATGAAACTTTAAGAATTTTAACGCAGCTTTTGTGAAAAATGTTGTGTCAATAATTGTTTACAATCAAGTAAGAAAGATAAATCCTTAAGTAGTATTTACAAAAAGCACTTTTTACACTTTTCAGCTCAAGTTGTTAAACTGTTTAAGTAGAGCGGGACGCAGTGGGTTAAGTTTATTTTCTTCTTCAGTATATGTACGGTACATTTATCTATTTGGGAAGGAATATTTGGTATATTTGTCGTCAGCCACACTGCTCTCTCACTATTTTCCAAAAACGAAATTAAAATTGCAATTTGCAACTAGAAAAGTAAATTAAGACCATATTTTGCAGCAAACAATTTTCAAGATGCCCAGCATTAAGCTTCAGTCCTCGGACGAGGAAATCTTCGATACCGACATCCAGATTGCAAAGTGTTCAGGAACCATAAAGACAATGCTAGAGGATTGTGGCATGGAGGACGATGAGAATGCAATTGTCCCTCTGCCAAATGTGAACTCCACCATTTTGCGCAAGGTGCTGACCTGGGCTCACTACCACAAGGACGATCCACAACCCCTCGACGATGACGAGAGCAAGGAGAAGCGCACCGACGACATCATCTCGTGGGACGCCGATTTCCTCAAGGTAGACCAGGGCACACTCTTCGAGCTAATACTTGCCGCCAATTATCTGGATATCAAGGGACTGCTCGAGCTGACTTGCAAGACCGTGGCCAACATGATTAAGGGCAAGACTCCAGAGGAGATTCGCAAAACTTTCAACATCAAGAAGGACTTCAGTCCCGCCGAGGAGGAGCAGGTGCGCAAGGAGAACGAGTGGTGTGAGGAGAAGTGAGGTGTGACGGGCTAACAGCTGGGAGGGAATACGTGGATCAGCTAGCAGCAGTTGTCTGATTACACAATAATTTAAGAATTTGGATTATTCCAAAATAATATTGCAGCCAATGCGTAAGATAAAATGTTTGCTTCACATACAAATATCTCTAACGTCACTGAGTTCGAAATAAATAATAAATGAATACATACTCAACGCTATTTAAGGCATTGTCTTAAAATTCTTGTACACTATATTTCTCTTCGACACGGCTTTTGAATATATAGCTTACTAATACTCAAAATCTGTGGTTGAATTTAATTTACAATTGCACATCGTTGCTTAAAATAAATAAACGCACACACATATACAATACACACATATAAAAACATATACATATATAGACAACTAGATTTACAATTACAATATGTTTTTTTTTTCGGTTTTCGGTTCTGGAATTCCAACATTAAAATACATATAGCAACATTAGCGCACAACAACAATCAATTTATCAGTTATTATCAGTTGTCTAGGAAGACGACGCAGTCGCACGCATTTCAAACGTGCTCACAAGGAATATAACAAACATTGGACAAAGATTCGCTAGCCCTAAACGGAATTTCTTCAGCTAATACTAGGTTTAACACACACAGTCCCGGCCCGGCCCAGCCTTACTTTTCCAGTGCCTCCTGCTCGCGATGCTGCCGCTTGAAGCCCCACTCGACAAAGACAAAGGCTATGGTGCCTATGGTGCCAGTGACCACAAGTATTGCCAACTGGACGTACAGCCCGAAATGTGAGGAGTAGAAAAAACTAATGGCCGCCGCCACGGACTGTGTGAACTTAAACAGGGCAAAAGCGCCCACGGCATTGTTCACATACTCGCCACCCAGCATCGAGTAGATCTGAGTGTTAAAGCAGGCATCGCCCAGGCCGAGGAGGAAAGCACAGACCAGGGCAATGCTCGCACTGGGCGTTTCCAGGTACGATATATCGGTGGTATCCTTGAATGGTGCGCTGTTCGGCAGATTAATGAACGTCATGAAGAAGGCCGCCATGTGCATGATGTAGCCAACAATTACGATGGGATCGCGTCCAAAGCGTGTCGTCTTGTTGCCCAGTATACCAAAAAGTCCGCCTCCGAAAACTTCTCCAGCGCCAATACAAATTCCCACGAGGCCAACAATCTCCTTGGGCGTTTCGGCTATTTTCGTGGTAAAGCCAATTGCGGACCCAAAGACGCCACTAAAGAACGACAGCTCCAGACCTGTAAAGCAAGCAAAAGATAATATTATTCATTGCCCAAAAGGAGCAGCTCCCGAACGAACGAACCTGTGTAGAAGAAAGCCAAGCTAAGGAGCAGCATCTTCTTGGTAAAGAAGAGTTGACCTGCCGACTTTAGGGCATACATTGCCTGATCCCAGCCCGTGTGCTTCTGCTCCAGCTCATTGTCGTGCTCGGCGTTGTCAGGCATGGAGCGCAAGGCAGCCAAAAACACAATGCCCAGCACGGCAATCACAGTGAGCACGCCTATGACCAGATTCCGGGTTTCCTTGTCGATGCGCGTCTTGTCCTGGAACTGATAGTAGACAAACAGATTGCCAATGAACATGCTGCACTGCAGCAGGGCCCAAAAGACGCCCGAGTTGCGAGAAATGGTCGTCGATTCGCTGCAACGCGCCAGATAAGTTCCCTGTCCAGTCCAAGTGATGGAAGCGCCCAGGCCCAGCACAGCGCTGCCCACATACAGCAGCACCGTCGACGGGAAAATAAAGGTGATCATAAAGGCGCTGAAATAAGGAACGGGTAGAATAATCGTTTTTACTGAACCATTTTGAATTCCTTTGCGGATCTACTCACGTATAGGTCAATGCTCCAACAACCATGGCCACACGGGGACCCGTAAATGATATGAATGATGGCGCCAGCCAGTTGGATAGCGAGAAGAATAGATAAATAATTGCCAGACTTGTGTAGCCCTCGCCCTTGAAGTTATCATCTTCCTGGGAAATGCTGTCCAGTATGGTTTTCTAACAATGAAATTGAAAAGAAATTTTATCATTTGATTATCATTTTGAAAACGTGCCAGCCGTGCCAGTCATGCTAATGAACCGGCAATCAAGTGGTTCAAAATATATAATATATTTTATTGTATTTCTGTTTAAATGTTATACACAAAACGTGTTTTCGATTCAAGTACAAATGGAGCTTCAAATACAGGTATTTCTTGTCCGGATGCGTTTTTTTTTAGAGAACAAAAAGCTGCCCAGTAATACGAAAAATAAATTAAAAATATTTCAACAATTTATTAAGAACGAGTATGCTGCACTCTGCAAGCAATTTCAAGTGCAATGCTGCATTTCTTGCAAGGCAAGGCAATGCCCACATTCTAAATATGAATGGAAAATTACTAGCTGAACGAATACGAAACATGTTTTCGGTTTGGTAATTTTCCATTCAAAACGCAGGACGCATCTGAATGCAATGTGGAATGATATCGTTATCTCGCAGCAGAATTTCTGACTCTGACACGATTTTGATTTCGTTTTGCATCAATTAACTGACACTGGCCCGGTCTGATCTGGTCTATGCTGGTCCTTGTGCCCAATATTGAAGTCCAACATGAGCGTGGAGTGGTGCTGCATTATCAGTGCTCGATGCAGTGCTCGACGACCAGCCCAGCACTTTGACAGCTTTAAGCAGGCGAGCCGCAGTACTACGCGTCCGATTGTGGAAGTGAAAGTTGAACATTCCGATGTGAGCTTTTATTTTCTGCACTGTAACTAGCCTTCCACCCACCCTTTCCGGATGAGCTTTTCGAAACGGAAGTGCTCAGACACTGTACATAGTCGTAAGTAATTGCAATGGAATACAGGAACTGTCTAGAACAGGAAGTTGTTGGCTCAATGCTGAAGGGGGAGCTTTTTTATATGGCAGTACATATAGTACATAGTAGAGATGTTCATATACATATGTTAATGTATCTGTTATAATTGTTTAATTGCTACCACTAACAGGTATAGGCATTAGAAAATTATTTTTAAAGCCGGGCAGTAACCATCAAATGATTCCGATAAGAGCACTCGAGTCTCAAGTGCAATCTATCCTTATCAGCAGCCAAGCGGCTGATGAGCACAATATCAATGAACTTTTTGTGTACAATCTTTTGATTGATTTACCATTGAGGAACGTAGCTGAGATTTGGGTCAAGTTTTGTGCAAACAAAACATAAAATTGAATGAAAAGAAAGCTGAAGTCAATGGCTGGAGAATGCCAGGCCATGTCAGACCCCAAATATATGTGGACTACTGATTTATTACGCAAAATAAACTGGCACAACGACTCTGAAAAGGTTCGAAAAAATGCAGAAACAAGTTTCGATTTTATTTTTGTTGTTTTTGGGGCAGACATTGTTGCACTCGCTACTGCGGTGCGGGCAGCGCAGTTGTCGCTGGGAAATTGTGGGCTCGTCGGGCTAGCACACCCACTTTTTGTTGTTGTTGTTGTGTAAGCGGAGGCAGGCGCCTAACGGTTGTCTGTGTTATGTTTTAGCGGGGCGCAGGCGCAGGTGCTCCGCGCGTGGCGCCCACTCAAGCACACACACTTGCATGTGCATATGCATACATGTATGTATGTATATTTTATGTACATTTGAATGTAATGGAAGTGTGCTTATGTATGTATGTTGGTCAACCTGGCTCGCTCTTTATATTTATTACTGACGTGGCCTTGAAGCCTGACGATGCTTTCGTTGTGTGTGTGTGTGTGTTTGTTTGCAATTGCAATTTCAATGACATTGAAAGAGTTGTTGGTAGCGTTCCATTGACGCGTTTTCGCTGTCTGGTTTGACTACCCTTTGATTTTGATTGCGCAATCAGCTGGCAAAAGGTCTGAGCAGCCAGTCGCTGCTGGCGGATATTAATATTCCCCAAGTGAGTGTTCTGCATCCAACTCCTCGTACACTGATTGCACCATATGAGCCAAGGCCTCACTGCTGAGAGACTATTGTCGATCGATAGATTGGTAGTTGGTAAGTCTCGTTCGTTAAAGCACGCCCTGCCTGGCATTCCAACTGGCTTTGGCTGTTTTTTTTAGAAGCAAAGGCAAGCGGCGTAGTAAATTGTTTATAAATTGTACAAAAACACTAAC